GAACCCGTGACCTACGCGATACCGGTGCAATGCTCTACCAACTGAGCTATGAAGCCACACATTGGGAGCGAGGTCAACTAACTGAGTTCATATCTTAAATGAGTGCAATAGTTGTTTTATCATTTGATCACCAAGTTTGTTGTCATATTTTTATCACTATCTGACAGCTCAGGGAAGCGATCTGCCATTTTTCACTTGAGAAACTGGTTTCAATAATGAATGAGCTCAGCAGGATATTATTTGCAGAAAAACACGTTTAGACAGTACTACACATGAGCAGACCATTATTTGTAGGCAGTTATTTGCAGGTCACGGGGTGGTCTCTCGGCCAATGGATAGGAAGAAAAAAAAAAATGCATCAAATGATAATATTGACTGTAGGTTGCAATATTGCTGCATGCGAGCACAGCTTTGGTGGAAGTATGTCAGCAAGCATTAACTTTCGTATTTGGCCATGTGAAGTGTTCCCTTTCTTACTATAGATTCTTTCTATGGTAAATGAAACTTAAATGCCCATTGTGTTGTTCCAGGAAATATGCATACCCCTCCCATGGTGGATTTTTGGTTTGACTCCCCACCCCGCATCCCTCTGGAAAGTTCAGTTTTGGTTAATACTTCCCTCTGAAAATTTTGCTTCTGAGACCACTCTCCCCCAAGTATTTCCAATAATCTTCCTTGGCATGGGTATGAATATTTTCTGGAACCCGCACATTGACAGTTAGTGGTTTTTCACTGTCTGGGATAATATTATCTTTCTTCACTTTCAGTGTTTAATCTGCCTGTGACTGGAGATGNCCCCCTGACTAGAAGGGGATCATGAGAAAACAAAGTGTTTCATAGCAAATAATTAACAATTATTGGACGAGGTTGAGCAAAATATCGTGATTTGTCAGCGGGGAGCAGATCAATTATTTGCTGAAGCTGAAGGCTGATCTGCTAGACACGGACAAATCATGATATTTTGTGATAATCAACTGCAATAATTGTTTTATCATTTGATCACCAAGTTTGTTTTCATATTTTAATCACTATCTGACAGCTCAGGGAAACGATCTGCCATTTTTCACTTGAGAAACTGGTTTCAATAATGAATGAGCTCAGCAGAATATTATTTGCAGCAAAACACGTTTTGACAGTACAATGCATGAGCAGACCATTATTTGAAGGCAGTTATTTGCAGGTCATGTTGTGGGCTCTTGGCCAATGGAAAGGAAGAAAAATATGCCATGATCAAATGATAATATTGATTGTAAGTTGCAACATTGCTGCATTCGAGCATGGCTTTGGTGGAAGTGTGTCAGCTATCATTAACTTTCATATTTGGCCATGTGAAGTGTTCCCTTTCTTACTATGGATTCTCATTATAGTAAATGAAACTTTAACACCCACTGTGTTGTTCCAGGAAATATCTATACCCCTCCCATGGTGGATTTTTGGTTTGACTTCCCATCCCCCATCCCTCTGGAAAGTTCAGTTTTGGTTAATACTTCCCTTTGAAAATTTAGCTTTTGAGACCTCCCCGGTCCCTCAAGTATTTCCAATAGTCTTCCTTGGCATGGGTATGAATATTTTCTGGAACCCGCACATTGACAGTTAGTAGTTTTTCACTGTCTGGGATAATATTATCTTTCTTCACTTTCAGTGTTTAATCTGCCTGTGACTGGAGATGAGCCACCACTTTTTCCAAGAAAAAGAAACACAGCAAAGTTTTGTGGAATAGTTCTCCGTGGACCACTGGGGTGAAAACCACTACAATCCGGCAGCTTTAGATATTGAAT